GCAGCATGGGGGAGAATTGTCTCCACTTGGCAAGAAATACCCTCAAACCACTCCTGCTCTCCCGCAGGATGGGATCTTGCTGGGGGCGGTGGGTGCCTACGACTGGAACGGAGCCGTCCTGAAAGAAACCAGCAGCGGGAAGGTCATTCCCCTGCGGGAATCTTATCTCCAGGAGTTCCCGGAGGAGCTGAAAAATCACGGAGCGTATTTAGGTAAGAAAGCCGAATGAGGCTCTGCTGCCAGGGCTGAATTCATGCTTTTATGCTTAATAATAGGAAGCACAACATATTTCTCAAATGACTAATAGCAGCCAGCGCTCCCAGCGTAGGTGGTACCGTGCCCGGCTGTTTGCAAGCTCCCGTCGGTGCGAGACCCGTGTTGCCCCTTGCAGTGTACGTGAGCATCCCTGCCTGGGAAGAGTCCAGCGTCGACCATGGTGTGCAGCACAAAAGTGATTTAAACGCAGAAGTAGCTCAGACGCCGGCCAGCCCGGGTCATCTACAGCGCTTACTGGAATGGTTTAAAAAGCGCTGATGAAATTTCATGCCTAGGGAGGAAATACCTGCTGGGTTAATCTGTTCCATGTGCAGCCGTTGAAGCCCCAGAGTAAAAATATCAGCCTGGTTTGCAAAATAAAGCCTCTCTCCGGAGATGTGCGTGCCAGGCTGAGCAAGTTATTAATCATGAAGCTAAATTGCTAACATGGACATAAGGAAGAAAATGCTTTTGGTGCTCCCCTATCCCACGGGGGAGAGAGCTGCTGGGAGACCCCGTGGCAGGGAGCGGGGTGGGATGCTGCAGGGTCATCTGCCGGCATCTCAGGGCTCTTCCCTCCTCTGGGGACGTGGGTCATCTCTTGGGGTGACAGCAGAGTGTCCCCCGGGCTCAGCTGCAAGTGCCTGGAGCCGGGACGGCTGTGGCTGTGCAATACCCATGACAGTATGCGGGAGCTCAGCTGGGCTCTGCCCTTCCCATTGCCTGGAGTAAGAAAACCAGAAATATTAAGGAAACGCCGGTGCATCCTGCTGCGGAGCAGCCCGGCTCACCCAGCGCACCTTGCTAACGTTCGTTTAACTTTATGTGAGCCGTGAATTAAAACACTTACCAGGCCAGGAATTGGATTCACCTTCGATGAAAGAAGGGTTTTGCCCGGGTTAGGCAGTGCCAGATCCCTTGGCACAGCTGAGCTGCTCCGGGTGTGGGTAGGACCTGGGCAGGCAGCTCAGAGCCCAGGGTCAGGGCGCTGGGGTTTGTTTGAATGACTTTATCTTTGAAGAAATCTAGGTTTCTAGCTTCCCGACCCATGAGACGGCCAGGATTGTGTCAGCAGCTGGGGGCTAACGGGAAGCAGATCACCGGGCAGCAGCTGGGAGCAGGCAGGGAGCCGCTCAGCCTTGCTCACCCCACGCCCGCCCCCCCTTCCAGGTTACACCGTCTCCTCCGTCATATCCACCAAGCACGAGCGGATTTACGTCGCGGGAGCACCCAGGTTCAACCACACCGGGAAAGTCATCATTTTCAGCATGCACAACAACCGAAACCTCACCATCCACCAGGCACTGAAGGGAGAGCAGGTAATGCCCGGGCACACGCTGCCGAGGACGCTGCATGGATTTTTCCACCTGGCACGCATGCTCCTCCATAAATCCTCCCCCTTCATTTTGCAAACTGTTCTGCGTAAATGGCTCAGCAGGGTAATGCATCCACGGGCAGCTGGGGATGCCCTGGCTGTCGCTGCCACCGCAGCTCCGAACC